AGAGGTATGTGGAAAAGATGAAAAAGTTGCAAGGGGAGTTCAGCTCGTTTGATTTGATGCTGATACCTCGGAGGACAACAGTCGGGCAGATCTGTTATCTAAAATAGCACAAAATCTAGTCGATTGTAAAAGCAAGAATGTAACTTTACTGCATATGGAGAAGAGTGTGGTTGAAGGGGAGGTGGTCGAGATAGAGGAGGTCGATGATTGGAGAGCCTCGATAATAAAGGAGTTGCGAGAAGGAGGGGTGAAAGTGATGATGATATTTTTCGATCATGGAGGGATGTTATACAAACGGTAGTATGCAGAACCCCACTTGCGATGTGTTACACAAGAGGAAGGTCGATATGTGTTGAAGGAGACTCATGAAGGGTGCTGTAGTGATCACAACAAGGCGGGCTCCTTAGTGGCTAAAATTTTGCGGGCAGGATATTTCTGGCCGACGATGAAGGAGGACGCAAAGGTGATGGTGAGGAAATGCTTGCAATGCCAAAAACATAGTCCGCTTATCCATCAACCAACCGAAGCGATAACGACGATGAGTGCTCCTTCCCATTTGCGCAATGGGGTGTCGATCTGGTGGGGCCAATGCTGCAAGGAACTGGGCAAAGGAAATTGTTGATTGTGGCGGTGGACTATTTTACAAAATGGGTGGAGGCCGAACCATTGGCCAAACTCACGGAGGAGAAAGTCATACAATATTTATATAACAATATTTGTTGTAGGTTTTGAGTCCCGAAGGTGTTGGTGTCCAACAATGGAACACAATTCAATGGCAAGCGGATTCGAGCATGGTGCGAGAACATGAAGATCGAGCAACATTTTGCATCAGTAGCTCATCCGCAAGCCAATGGGTAAGTCTAGGTGACCAACAGGATCATATTGAATGGCCTCAAAACAAGGCTTGAGAAGGCGTCGGAGCATGGGTCGATGAGCTTACTTTAGTACTCTGGGCATACCGAACAACGCCCAGGTCGACAACAGGGGAAACACCATTCAGTCTGGTTTATGTCATGGAGGCACTATTGCCAATTGAGGTCGACATGTAGTCCCAAAGTTCGATCACGTATGATTAAGAGCAAAATGAAAACCTGACAACGACAGCTCTTGACACAATTGAGGAACTTCGAGAACAAGCTTTGATCAGGGTCAAAGCATACAAACAGAGGATGCGAGCAGCACACGACAGAAAAGTAAAAGTCAGGAGATATCAGGTGGGTGACTTGGTGTTGAAAAGGGTTGACGTGCTGAATCATGTTGGAAAGCTGGAACCGAACTGGGAAGGACCATACCTGGTCGAAAAAGTCCATGCCGAAGGAGCATACTCGCTTAAAGACGATGAAGGAAAGTCACTCCCCAGGTCATGGAATGTAGCTAACTTGAAGAGATATTATGCTTAAATTTTTTCTTTCCTAAAAAATTTTTCTTTCGAAGATGATGTAATCGACTTCCCTGATTTTTATTAATTGAACTTCATTTGCAAGCACCATAATATCGATTTATTTTTCTTGAAATATTTGGAGTAACCTCAGTGTGGCAGGTTACGTGGAGCAAAATCCATCATGATTAAGGCTGAAAGGTTAGATGGTCGCATGTATCGACCACCTTTATGAAGGTGGGCAAGTGTTCAAGGGAGTAAAATTCATCATGATTAAGGCCGAAAGGCTGGATGGTCGCATGTATCGACACCTCTGCGAAGGTAGGCATGTGTTCAAGGGAGTAAAATCCATCATGATTAAGGCCGAAAGGCTAGATGGTCGCATGTATCGACCACCTCTGTAAAGGTGGACATGTGTTCAAAAGAGTAAAATCCATCATGATTAAGGCCGAAAGGCTGGATGGTCGCATGTATTGACCACCTCTGTGAAGGTGGACATGAGTTCAAGGGAGTAAAATCCATCATGATTAATGGCGAAATGCTGGATGGTCGCATGTATCGACCACCTCTGTGAAGGTGGGCATGTGTTCAAGGGAGTAAAATCCATCATGATTAAGGCTGAAAGGTTGGATGGTCGCATGTATCGACCACCTCTGTGAAGGTGGGCATGTGTTAAAGGGAGTAAAATCCATCATGGTTAAGGCCGAAAGCTGGATGGTTGCATATATCGACCACCTCTGTAAAGGTGGACATATGTTCAAGGAAGTAAAATTCATCATGATCAAGGCCGAAAGGCTGGATGGTCACATGTATCGACCACCTCTGTAAAGGTGGACATGTGTTCAAGGGAGTAAAATCCATCAAGATTAAGGCCGAAAGGCTGGATGGTCGCATGTATCGTCCACCTTTGTGAAGGTGGGCATGTGTTCAAGGAAGTAAAATCCATCATGATTAAGGCCGAGAGGCTGGATGGTCGCATGTATCGACCATCTCTACGAAGGTGGGCATGTGTTCAAGGGAGTAAAAATCCATCATGATTAAGGCCGAAAGGCTGGATGGTCGCATGTATCGACCACCTCTGCGAAGGCGGGCATGTGTTTAAGGGAGTAAAATCCATCATGACTAAGGCCGAAAGGCTGGATGGTCGCATGTATCGACCACCTCTTTTAAAGGTGACATGTGTGTAGGATGGGAGAATCAAACTTACAATGACTATGTACGATCGATTACATGTTCTGACTATCGAGTCAAAGGTAGGCGCACAACGAAGAAGACAAGTCGGACTATGACAAAGATATGACGAAAGAAGGCCATCAATTCGATAATAACACAAGCTGGAACCATATGGAGAAACAAGAATACCTAAAAGGATAAACATACATAACCTTGTTCATTGCAAAAAATATCAAAGATACAAATATAAGTCTCGAGAAGAAAAAAGAACAACAGTTCCAAGGGACGGAAGCATTGAGATTTGAGGATGCTTGCTCGATGGGCACATCAGAATTAAGAGGAGCTTGCTCGGCAGTTTGTGCAGACTGCTACTCGGCCGGTGTTTGTCCTATTTTTGTGTCTTTATTTCATGTTTATTTTCTCTTTGTTTTTCCCCACTTGTAGAATTTTAGTAGCTTATTAGGTCCACTTCTTTTCGTTTTGTGTTTTTACATTTAGTTTATATTTTTGTGTCTTTTTGCCGTGTTTTGCTTCGTGTTTTTCCGTGTTTGTGTTTTCAGGAGGTAGGTTGTGCCGGTCGAGGTTGGGATTGCTTGAGCAGAGACCGTGATATCGAGAATTCCAGTGGCCGAGCCCAGAAAAGGACGAAGAGGACTAAAGGATGGACTGAAAGCTGCTCTCAACATATCTCGCGTCTCGCGACTTGGGTTGCGACTCGCGAAAATGTCGCGACCCGCGAAAAAAAACTGAGGCTTAAGGGGCAGTATGGAGTACGAGTCGCAACTCGCGAGTTGAAGTCGCGACTCGCGAGTTATGTCGCGACCAAACCCCAGAAATTGAAGATTTTGACGACGCGCGACTCGTGAGGAAGTCGCGACTCGCGACTTATCGGTGCGAATTTCGAGGTGCGGGTTTTTAACATCAAATTTTGGTCCTAGGACTGATTATTCACTTCCAAACTTATGTTTTAAGCTTTTTCTCTCTAGAAAACTTATTCCTTTCATTACTTTTGCACTTTGGATTCGTTTTGGAGATTGAAAAACTCCTTTTCCATGCTTGGATTTAGATGTGCTTGGATTTGACATTGGGATTTCTATATTAATCGTAAGTTCTTTTTATCAATTGTTTTATTGATGATGGCTTGGGTTGATATGAGTTTGGATGTTGAATTCGTTATGAGTAAATAAATCTATTCGCTAGGGATATGGGATGATTGATTAGGTTCGTTATAATTGAATGCTTTTGATTGTTCATATCTATTCAAGTTGTGTGATTTATAGGGTTAGTTGATTGATCACCATTCTAACCTAGATAATCAACGTGTAGAACCGAGAGGGGAGACGTTGGTCGATTTAAGCTCATTAAGAATAGACTTGTTCAGAAACGTATTGTCTATGTGTTGTTGGAATTGATAGTTGATCGTTTACATTCACTCTCTTGTTACGAAGAATTATTGAGAGTGGACCTTTGAACGAGAAACAATTCAAGTCCTTTAATCGAGCAGTTGATTGCCAGTAATTATGTTAGAACCGAAAGAATTATCCCTGATTCCCTAGCTCTTTAATCATTAAGTGAATTCGTTTGCCATTTTAATTTCATTTTATTTAATTTAAAGTCAATAGTTGATAATTGAAACCTAAAACTATTGAATTAGAGTGTTTAGGAACTTGATTTCTCTTTTTCGTGATTGAATAAATGCACAACAATATCCGGCTAACCTGCCTTGCGATACGACCCGGGGAACGAATCTTTTGATTCTACTCCGGTAAAAATACTGACAACAGACGGCTGCTCGACATATTAACTTGAGCCAGAGGTTGATGCAGCCATGTTCGACAGGGGTCATCGGCGGATAGATTCGGAAATGACTTGCCTCATGGACGCTGGAGGAGTTACGCCGTCGGGCAGCGTGAAGTTCTTCTTCAGAATATCAGCGCGATTCAAGGTGCGCTCGAGGATACCTGACCACCACTCGTGATCGGGTGGCAAGTCAGGATTGCCCTGGAAACTCTTGGGCACCTTAGGCATGGCATTCCAGATGGCTTCTACGTCGAGCTCCTCGAAATCATCCTCGAAAATTTGCTCGCCCGCTTTCGCTAGGGCGTACTGGAAACAATCGGCGTTAAACTCTTGCAGTTCCTTCAAAAATAGTGGTGACCGCACAATGTCGGCCAACACTTGTTTCCGGTGTTCCTGGAGGAAGAGTTGTCCGACGTTGGTGTACCACACCATCTGGCGGCCACGGAGAGCAGCGAGGTCAGTTAGGTGTTTCCTTTCTTGCTCAAACCTCGTCTTCTCTTGTTCTCGAGCAGCCTTTTCAGCCTCGAGCGCCTCTGCCAAAGCCTTTTTCTCCTCCTCGAGGGTCTGCTTTTCTCTCTCGAGGGCCATCGCCCTCAGTGCTTCGATCCTTCGCTCCTCACGAAGCTCGTGACAGCAAACGGTATGCTGATTAACTTTGGTCTGCAGGACGTCGATCCCCTTCTCCAGCTTGGGGATCGAGTGCCCTGCTCACAGTCTGGTCGACCAGAGGAACAAGCTCGACCAACCCCTACACTTATCGTAAAGGAGAGGAGTTAACAATTGGGAATGAGCAAGAGTAATAAGGGAAGAAAGATACTTAGGAAAATTTGAAAGTTACTGGCCACCGCGCAAGGCGATAACCCCGAGTTTGCAAATCCAAACTGTCATCGTTGAGGTCGCCAGCAGGAAAAATCTCTCGGAGATAAGACACAAGTTCTTCCTGGCCGACCTTGACCAGAGATGGAGGAGCAGAAAGGGAGACGGTTGCAGCTTTCTCGAGGCAGGGACGTTTGTTGGTCCCCTTATACCCCTCGACTAAGGGACGCTTGAGCTGGGCCTGCTCGACCAGCTGGAGGTTTGTGGAGGAATTTATTTCGATCACCAGAGTGGTCGAGCCAGCAGGTGGAGTGGTCGGTTGCGGATGGTCGGGGTGCTCGCCAACTGGGATGTCGATCGAGGAACGTAAGGATTGTTCCTCGATAACCGACTCTTGAAGGGGCACAGAGCTATTTTTGACCTCCATGGAGGAGGTCGTATGTGTTGGGATCTGTGAGGATCTCATTATGTACAAGTCATGAATTCAATAGCAAACGTAAGCGTATGCACAGCGGATCTAAAGGTTTGACATAGAGAACTTACGGCTTAAAATTTATGTAGATCTGGTTAGCCACGAACGGTTGACCGCAATTGATTGACCGCAAATCACGTCTTGGGGTAGCACGAACAAGATCAGATCAAAATCGGATCAAACGGATGCAAACAGGTCAAAATGAAACTTGCAGCCTGAGAGCTTCCGGCGGTGCGTGAGGGCGCGTGAGGCGTCAGACGGCTGCGATCTCGGCAGAGATGGAAAGATCACGTCGAGACGATCGTCTGGGTATGTTGTACGTCTTAATCGGACTTCCAGTTAGTTCTGTAGGTCAAAATATATTTCATCTCGGTTTACCTACAGATCTTCTACTGTATTACTCAATACACCCTTCTTCCAACTTGTACCAGTGGAGCAACAAGAAGAAGATAAAGTTCAAATGAGATCTAGAGAGAGAGAGAGGCGTGGGGCGTTATTCACGTGTGATTAGGAATTCTCTTCCCTTCTCATGAGCTTAATGATGTATATATAGAGCTACAGTAGGGACGCTTAGGAGATTAGGAAAATGACTCCTTAATTAATTAGACTAACTGTGGGCCAAGCCCACTCCTCTAATTAATTAAATAATATTAATAGGCCAACAACATTATATTATTGCACTCTCTTTTCCTAGCCCAAATTACATTTGAGACTCCAATAATAATTACTCGATTTACCTCCCCACAGTCCGTTTCCACTTTGGGCAGTTAGAAGGAGTGTCAGAGATGAAGTGGACACCGTTGCGGCTTTTCAGGTAAAGCCCTTGGACCTGTTTTGAGGGTGTGTAGCAGTAATGGAAAAAACTTAGGTCAAATCGATCTAAGAGATATACGGGAAAGGATGATGAAGACGGTGATGAAGAGAATAGCATTTGAAGGAAGTTGATTTAGAGGAAGGCCGAACCAATCGCAGATGTCTATTAGGTCCTGGCATAAAGGAAAACGGATCCCAAGTTTAAATTGGGCCTCGAAGAAGGTATAGTTATTTCTAGGGGGGTGGTCGTAGGTGTCATGTGAGCGGGGAGAGGTGAAACCCCAGCCAGAGAGATGGTCGACATCGTCGACCTCTAACCACCCAGCGACTAGGAGAGAAGAGGCCTTCCTAGAGGTGGAGGCCTTGGTCGACTTCTTCTTGGGTGTTGATTTGGAAGAAGTGGCGGTGGTCGAAGATTTTGATTTGGACTTAGAGGTGGCGGTTGTTTTAGGTTTGCTCGAAGAAGGGAGTTTGGAAGGAATAGTACGTTCGGAAAGAGGAACATGATCCTCACTTTTATCGCGAGCTACCTCGACAGCATCGAGATATGCTTCAGTAGCATCGGAGGCACCAAAGACAGGTCGGTGGCGATGAGTAAGGGGGACATGGTCGAGAGCGTCCTCATCGGATTCATCAATCAGACAATGGGATTTAGGTGGAGGAGAAGGTGTGGAGAAATCGAAAGGCCGAAGCACGTTGAGGGGAACAACCTGGTAACCCTCTTCGAGGGAAGTTGAAGGAGAATGGGGAATAAGTCGGCGAATTGGGGATGATGACGAGGTAGTCATGTCCTTGCCAGAATGAGGGTCGTTCTCACTAGAAGTAGCGGAATCTGAAAAATAAGGGAAATAGATGTTAAAGGGAAGACCTTTATGGTTTTCAAAGATGAATAGAAAAGAAAAAGGAGGAAGATTTTGTGGCTGGGGTTTGAATGAAATTTCAAAAAAGGAAAATCGACAAATCAGAAAAACTAAAAATTAACAACGGAAACACACAAAGATAAAGTACAGAGGACTTACTCATGGTGGAAGAGCAGAAAGTTTAAATAGCAAAGAAAATTAGGGCACAAGAGAATTCGAGATTTGCGAAGGTGAGAAAAATCGGAAAATTTCTAAGTGTGGATATATATAGGTGAATAAGATAAGCAAGATGAAAAGTTGGAGAAGATAACTGTTGGATTAAAGGTGAAATCTAATGGCTGAAAAAATTTAATGGGCACGAGATTCAAAAGGACGCAAGTCGCGAGAAGACGTGATGATTGATTTACCTGACAAATGGGACGCGTGGTAGAATAAAACTGCATTAATAATGAGGGGAAAAGAAGGACGGTTGAAAATTTACCATAGAACCAATTAAGTGGTTGAAGAGTAGAGACAAAACTAGCCAGATGGTTGAGGTGTCAAAAGACCGAGGAAACGAACACAAATTCACTCTTAGATCGAGTCATTTAGACTCGACCAGAGTGGGGGGACTAGATGATATGGCATATTATATATATGAAGGAATAAATTGGTTCACTACGCCGGCCATATGAGCCTAATATTGGGAAGACCATGTGGGTCGAGCAACAGCAGGCTGGAAGGCAGTGGTCGATTATCATGGGAGATCTGGTCGAAGATCGACCTACTGGGTGAGAGATTATTGGATCGACCACCTAGTGAGTGAAGAGCAGTCGGGAGCATGATCCAGACGTGAGGGAGTGCGTGAGCATCCTAGGGAATTTCCAAGGAATATTGAAGGGAATAATTACCCCATGTGCAGAGGACACGTGGCAAAGACACATTGGGGCACAGTGGTAGTGGTGATAACCACCTCTAACACACACACACACACACACTGCGTGTGTATGGACGGGCAGATCCGGGCACCTTTGGGCAGATAGCTCATCAAATCCGAGCAGTTATATGGGGGTGAGCCTTTCTAGTTACACACGATTTATCCATTTTTACTCTTGAGAATTGAGTAGAACAAACACTGACTTAAGCATCGGAGGCTCTTCACCGGAAAACTCCTCAAGTGTAAGAGTTCTTTGCAGGTACGCGGCGTTCTACCGACGAGGAGGAAGAAGGCAAGCCCAATTCTAGCCGGTCGGAGTGTTTTGCATTACCATACACACACACACACACAAAATAAAATAAAATAAAAACTTAATAGCTAGACTAAAGTCTCTCATCCAGCAACTGAGACTCTCCTAGAATCCTCAAACAAGGCAAGGCACATGGCAACCCCCCAAAGGAGTAAAGCTCGGCCTAACATAAAGTTCTAAAAACTCTACTACTGGCTAGCTAGAACTAAACCAAGGACGAATCCCAACTCAGGATGTCTCCACCGGACCAGTACAAGCAATCTCGTACCCCCACCCACCCTCAGCCCGATCGATGACCACAACCTAATGTGAAGCCACGCCTGCCTGCCGCCCCCAATTTCCTAACACCAGAGTTGAAAGAGGACAGAGGGGCAGAGAATCAGCCCTCCGACACCGACCGCTACCAGACAGCCACCGCGCCCACCGCCCGCAAGCCGTCGCCACCCCATCCACCATGGCAGCCACTGAACCGAAGGCGAATTATCCACGCAGGAGAGACAAGAACGACAACCCTTTTAACTGCACCAAAAANTAACGGTATTGGAGTCGACCTAGGCTACGACCTCTGGTAGAGGGAGGTGGCTTGCCGCTAGAGGAGAGACACAACTCCAATTAGGGTTTTCTGAAAGATAAAAGGGGAAAAGAGAAACGAAGGGGAAATGTAAAATGCTCATATTAATTAATTAAAATTTGCATTTATTAATAAAATTAGTAATTATTATATTTTAATTACTTATATAAAATGCACATTTATTTACATATTTTTACTGTGCATTTAGGTCATGCAAAATGCACACTTCGTTCATACGTAGTGCATACTTAGTTCATGAACAATACATACTTATTTGATATTATTGTTGAACATTTAGTTCATAAAAATTTTATATTTAATTCATACCAAATGCATATTTAGTTCATATCAATTTCATATTACGAGTGCACAATTACTACATATTCAATGCATATTACAGTTAACAGTCAATGGAGGAAGATAACGGTCAACACCGGAAGTCAATGATCAATGGTCAAATGATCAAATAAGTATTTAAATAATAAAATAAAAAATTAAATCTTGGTCACACATCTTGTTCCCTATTTAGTGGCCGGGAATGAGCCTCACAATTTCATTTAAAATAATAAGACTCATTGGATCAAGTTTGCACTTCGATAAGAATGGTTCTCAGTGAAACAAATAATAATACATCTTAGCCATAAAATATAATCATCCAAAGGTGAAAAAAGCTAAATTATTACACTCATTAAAAGTATTTTAGATATTATCCAATCCACAACCACCAACCCACCAGTGGACCCCACCCACCCACTTTGCACTATCTCACACACAACACATGCATACACATAATACACACACACAGACCCTGAGTCTCGTTGACTTTCTTACCCAATTGGCTTCTACTATGCTGACTTTCAAACCTGAGAGGCTCAAGGGCCGCCGCACCTCTGTCGAGGTCCAGCCGTGCTATATGATGACTCACACACGCACGCGACTAAAACACAGATACAAAACTCTCACACACACAGATCTCGTTGACATTGTTGGTCGTCGTCGCCTGAATCAGGTTCGACAACCTCTCTGCCATTTCCATCTGTTCATTCTTTATCCTCATCTAGGCCCACATGATGTCGAGCTGTGAGAAGTCAGCTTTGAAGTCGCGGATGGCCATGGAACACGTGCTGATATCTCCATCTGTCCGTCGCCAACTCCGTGTATCCTAACGCTAGCGTCCGCCGCTGCTCCATCCACCGAGGCCCACAAAAGGAAACAAACAACCACCAATTTCATGGGGTTCCAAGCAGGTTTATGAAATTAGGGATTGGATTTTTGTTGAAAAAGAAGAATAGATAATTTTCAAGGACTTATCTGCAATTTTAGAAATTTCAGCTATATTGAAATTTAGTTCATGAGTTAAAACTATAAATTAATAAAAGTTTATAGTTGCACAATAATACTCAGTGCAATGAACATATCACATTTGCAGTTGTACATAAAAAAATACTCACTGCAGTATGCACAATCGTATTAGACAAACTGCATAATAGTGCCTGTCAGATTACACATTAGCATAACAATGTATTCTAAGCAATAACTAAAATACCGTCAAGTTAAAAAAAAAAATCAAAAGTCAACATCTTTACAGGAATGTCACCGCCCCTTTGGCCAAAACCTAGACCTTTTGACTATGCCTTGAGCGTTGATATATCACATCCAACTACTAGAATTTTTTATTATTCTTTCATGATGACCCTTTCTCATATGATCCACTTATATTTATAAAGCTTTATAATTACTTACAATAATATTGTTTTCAAGCCAAAATATATTTTTTTACTAAATATAGTTTTTGTTACAATCATTCTTTTTTACTTAAAATTTCTTATTTTTTGGGTAATTTTATTTACCATCCGTTGTAAGACTTTTAATTTTATTTTAGGAAACAATAACATATCTTAAGAAATTGATAAATCTTATCAATTTTTTTCAATTGATTATTTTAGATTTTACCTAATATATATTTATTTTTATTACTAGTGATGTGATATCAATAATCTAGTATTAAACTTTTAAAAAAAAAATTACAACTAATTATTCAATTTCTACATAAATCTATATTTTATTTCATTTGGAAAATATAAATTAAAGGATATAGATATAGATTAATCACTTCAAGAATAATTATTTCTAAATTAGAAAACATATTTCAGGAAATCACTAAATGAAGAAATTTCCTAACTATAATTATTTATTTGTTTACTAAATGAAGAAATTTCCTAACTATAATTATTTATTTGTTTATCATATCGTTGTATATTTTTTTTTTTCATTTAACTTATTAAATATTAATGAAGTTATCTTTTTAAAATTTTAGTAATATTTGTTAACCATTTTTTATATATAACATTAAATTAACTTTTATTTATGATTTCGATTTAGCCCTCGTATTGTATATAAAATTAAAAATAACAATATCCATTAAAAGTATATTACTTAATAATCTATATATAAAATAAACTTAATCAAGTAATAGTCTCCAATTATTTATATAACTAAATAAAAATTTATGTATACTATAAAAACTGAAAAAAATATAAGTAAAAAATCATTTCGAGGATCAAGTATTTAATATTAAAATGATAATATACCAGGTTATGTTTTAAATTCCATGTAGTTATTAATCTAAAGAATTTAGATATTTATAATATGTATTTTCATAAATTATGATAAACTAATGAGTCATATGTCGAACTTCCATGCATATTATAAGTGTAGAAAGAAAAATCAATATATTTATAATATATATTGTTATTATCTATCGTTTTGAGAAAAAAAAAATATTGTTACAAATTATGATGACAAACAATGAATCCCTGTCGAACCATCCATGTAAACTATTAACTTAGAAAAAAAAAATTATTTATGTTGTAAATTATTATAAATAATAATGATGACTTAATAATTATCTTTTGAACAACGATGTAAACTTTCTGCGTAGAAAAAAATAATGATATAATTATATGTGTAATGTTCTGAAATATTAGATTGAAAAAAAAAAAACTTAAAATATTTATAATATAGGTTATTACAAATTATAAAGGATAAATAATTTTAATGTAAATAAAAAGGAGTAAGTTTTATAACTTTGAAGCAGTATACACTGCATTCTTTTTAAATTAAGTGTCAGTTTATAATATATGCTCTATATTTTTTTAATTATACCATCACTTATTGGGGAATCAGAATAATATATCGTTATAAGGTATGAGTAATGGAAGAGAGAAAGATAAGTAGTTTTGTGAGTATTATTTATCGTATTACTTGAATAAGTTAAGTTTTTGTGTTCCTTAATTATAAACATGAACTTTGAAATAAAAACTATTTAATTACATGTGAAATAAGAATATAAATTATATATTAAAATATTATACAATAAAATTTAATATTAATATTGAAACATATTTTTATACTAATAAATATTCATTCATTGTTTTAATATATTTGTACATTAATATGAAATAAGGTTATTGTCGAGTAGTGAGTTCAATGAAATTTCTAAGCTACATTAATCTGGTAAATAAAAATATTAAAATATATACGATTTTTGAAAAACATGTTCAATACATTTCAATTTTTCTATACTATTTTTTAAAAATACCTAAATTTTATATTTTATTTTTTAGAAAAAAAAAATCTAAAAAGACATCTAATATTATAGGCTAATTTTCAATCATTACAACTATTAGTAAATATATAAAAAAAAACACACCATATGGTATATATAACAACACATCTAACATTATTATAATTTATATAAAGAATAAGATAAATATTTTACGCAATCTATATTATTTGATAAATCAATTATTTTAAATACTAACACAAAATTTAAATAACAATCTGGTTACTGGCGAATTATAAATTCGTCAAATGCACGATGAATAAACATACTCATTACTAACAAATTATATATATTATATAACAACATATCCGGTGATTTACAAGCCCCTTGAATACGGCGATTGTTTTCCTCGGCTTTTACCTCCCGCAGCTCCGCTCCTTTCGACCGATTTGACCTCTTCCGGCGACGGCGACGCCGTTTCTGCGGCCGTCGCTGGCCGCCCATTCCTCCCTTGCCGTTGTTTTCCTCGATTTTGCAGCCATAGCATTTTCTTTCGTCTCTCCCGTCTGGTGGTGGGTTGGGGAACTGCGGCGGTTCCCGATCATAATCCGGTGTCTTCGATGATGCTCGTTGCGATTGGGAGTCTGTTGGTTAGTTCTCTATCTTGAGTTGGTTCTGTTTGGTGGATTTGGTTATCGGTGAGTTTGGGGATTAGGGTTCGATTTGGGTGTAACGCCCCAAAACAGTAATGATATTCAGAACGGTTTCACTGCTCGACTATAAGTGAAATCCGTAATATTCAGAAATTATCGAGTTATATTATTTATGCTAAATGCTCAAACATGATAAATTATTCTTTGAATAATTCTATCTCAAGTATAAGTTAAGGTTAATCCATTAATTTGGGTTATTAAATAATAGCAAGTCAATTCGAGAAATTACCGGACACGAACCCTAGTTGTCGTTCCGAGTATATTTTCCTAAGTCAAAAAATTGAGAGTTGATATTTTAATACTTAAAATATTTTTCTAAGTGTGTTAGAATACCAAAGTCAAGCTTTGGACATTTTATATTGAGCTCTAGTGCTCACCCGAGCCGCCCGTGCCGAGCCCCGCACCCGCGCCTCGTGCCGTGCCAAGCACGTGCCTACCGAGCCCAAGGCTTGTCCTAAGCCTTGGCATAAGTTCCCTAAAATTTTCTAAGTGTTGGAAGCCTTTCCCAACCCTTGCAACTCAGCCCAAAGTCATTTTCCCCGAGCAGCACCATTTCCCGCGCAGCCCAGCCGCGCCCAGGGCCCAGCGCCCAGTGCCCAGCGCCCAGGCCCAGCGCCCAGCGCGACCAGTCCAGCTTCCAAGGCCCAAAACACCATTTTTCGGCCCACTTTCCTCATGGCCCAACTCAGGCGTGTAATTAGGACCTAATGAGGGTCTAATTAAGCTTAAGTTGCCCTAAGAAATGTTTAAGCAAAGACAATGAACATGGGGATTATTATAATGGTAGTGCATGTGGGCTAGTGAATATTTTAATCACTTGTGCAGCCCTTGTCCCCCCTATTTCGTGCACTTGGGACCAGACCCCATTTGACCTCATTTTTATACACTAAAGGACCTGCCATTCCACCCAAATATTCCATGCAAAGATGCCCCAACACCCTCAAGTTCCTATGCACATAAAATGAGGCAAACTCATGATCTTTGGTCTCCCTTGACCAACATAGTAAGCTCCGCCCTCAACACCTATTTAAGACCCCTCCCTTAGTCCATTTTAAGCTCTTACACAAATTGGAGCTCGAGAAAAATAGTGAGGAGGGAGGAGAAAACCGAGAGCAAAGCTACCAGCCCTGCTGCCCGCGCGCGCGCCCCGGGGAAGGAGAGAAGGCAGCCACCTCGTGTTCCAGCCATAATCTCTCGAGGCTTAGCATATTCTAAGTATTCTTTAGAATTTTCTAAGCCTTTTAGAGTTGATTGGCTCGAACAAATCACACCACAAAGTGAGCTTAACCTCCAAAGCCGCGACTAGCCCTAGTTTGAGCCCTAACTCGATTTCTCCATTTTTAACCGAGGTAAGCTCGGGATTTTTGATTCCATTAATTATTTTATGACATTTTAAGATTTTTCATGAAGAAAAACCGAGCCATGCATGTCATTATATGTGAGTTACGAATTTTTGAAATAAATGACCTTAAAAATGAAATTCGAGTAGGAAGCATGTCTAAGTCGAGATTTCTTGTTTAAACACCCTCAAATATCATACCATTGATGCTGTAAAAATTTGAGAATAAAATGAGTTCATTGCCTTGGTCAAATCATGCTCGAAAATATGTTAAAATGGGGACCCGAACCCTAGTTCATTGCATGCAATATGTGCCACATGTTTTAGCCTCTATAGTCATGAATTTACATGTATAACATTCGGCCCTGAGTAGTTTTTCAAGTTATGTATGTTGGTTCGGACGTCAAGTGCTC